TGTGAATGAAATTGTAAATAGATAAGAATGAATCAATTATTGGACGTTATATACCTGCACTTCAAATACGGTCAAGTGGTCTAGCCTTGTGATGCGAACCGAGCACGCACTGCGTCAGGCCCAACAACATGTCGAGCAACAGGCCGGGACGATGCAGCAGCCACCGGGCCTCGCGCAACGCCAGCACGAGCAACCATCTCGCGAGGCCATTACGCCAGCTTCACGCCGTGAAGAGCATCACGAACCAACAGAGACCAAGGCCTACGCAAGCCTCGCGCCGCTAGGCCTCTCATGCCACGACGTCCGCGTCTCTTCGCGCAGCGGGGGCTCTCACGAGGGAACAGAGGGACGTGCCATTGAAGATTCGCGCCGCGACGGAGGTAGTTTTCTCAAGTTATTTTCACTTAAATTTTCAAATTATCCAATTTTCTTTCAAATTTAAATAATAGTGTGTTAATTTGGCTTTAAAACTCATGTATTTTGATTTGGTAATAATGACATAAGAAATAAGAAAAAGCTCATTTCCGAGCAAAAATTATCGTGTTAACCGAAACCATTTAGCGCGGATTTTTTGCAAAATCGAGAACTTGATACACGATCTTCGTCACCTTGGTCAGGCGCGCGATAACATTTATGTAATTATGAGTACTATTTTTCACGCGGTGACATTTTTTTGATTTGACAAAATACTTTGGTATGCTAGTGCGCATTTTCACAGGCATTAATGTTCATGTCATTTAACATTATTGTGCATTCTATAGCGTGTTGTGATCATTAGTAAATGTGTGAACTATTATATGTGCAGACGGTACAAATTTTGTAATTTCATAAAATTGCGACGATATCTTTAATATGTTGCATATCCACACGAGTAATGTGCATTTACATTATTGAAAATTAATCAAACTTTTGATAAATTACAAATTTACTCAATGCCTAAATTGCAATATTTTGAAATTTTTAATATATAATTTTTAAAAGGAAGTCCCCATCAAGAATTCATTTCTCTCCCACACTTGTGATCCCATTGTCGTTGTCGTTGATGGATCTCATAGTCGTAGACCCATAGGCAAAGTGCAACTCGATTTGTGAGATATACACACAATCTAGTAAGCCGAGCCCCTCCCCTCGTCCAATTTGGTGCAGCAAGTTCAGAACTTGGAAAGGATCGTCGCGGTAGCCATTATCCCAATGACGTGAATGGACTATTTTCTATCAGAGATCGGGCCCGATCGTGAAATTGTGTGTGACAGAGAGAGACAATGGCAAAGGCTTATGAGACAATGTTTAAGAAGGGAGTTTGTTATTTTGGTTGCTGGTGTTGGGAGGGTCAAACCGTCTGAGTTTGAGTTGTTTTGGGTGTGGTTGGGAAATAAGTAGGTTCATGAAGCATTTAACCATTCTCCAAAGAAGGCTTATGATGCCTTTTGAGATGTCGCCTGCCTTTTTTTTTTTACAGTTTCTATCAAGGTGTCCAAGAATTTCGCAATAGAAACAAAGGCTCACCAATCTTTCGTATTTGAATTCCACTAAAATTTTCTTTTCACCTAGTTGTGTAAGCAGCTCTAGGCAGCAGTTGCTCTAGGTCAATTGAGACATGAAGCCTTATGCATTACCTGCTAGATTCCAAACATGAGAAACTGAAGACGTCTTTGATTTTCTTAAAGGCTCTTCCTATTATTAATCATACTTCAATGGACAACCAATATTCCATGCTTGCACCAAAATATTTATCTCATTGAAGTCCAGATGTTCAACGTTTAATTTCTTCATTCCATTCTCGAAGTATCATGAATTGGTTCTCGAAAGTCCAAGTATTCCTTTTGCGACTTTGAGTTTGTCGGCCATGTCAGTGAAGATGAATTGAAAGAACTTTGGGCTTAACTCTTGCATCGTCGGTGATGACCTAATTTACCAAATATGACAAATTGTTCTTTTCAAGTCCTTTATTTTTTCCAACAATATTTTTCCGAACAAATTGCAGTTACATTCATCTGAATTGTTGTAAATGTCCTCTATATCGGTTGAGGTGACATTTGGTTCTTTTTCGGATAGTGAAGTTTCCGAGTTTATGAGTTAACTCAGAATTTGAATCTTGCCTGCAAAAGAAGGAATTCGACTTCCACGCGAGAGAACTCCTGCTCCCAGAAAGAGAGAATCGTCATAAGCTTCAACGGTATAGGTCTTTTCAATGTGAATCAAAGTACATAAACTTATTAACAATCAATGAAAGTTTGGATGGTAACTTCACACGTGTTATAAGCTTTCTCAATATGAGTAGAAATACTTTAACTAATTACCAGTAATAAAAGACTGGATATCAGGTGCAAATCAAAATAGAGAAGAGAGCCAAATTAGAAGATTATAATTTGTTTTCCTTGCATTATCAAGAAAATCTTAGATGAACATTTAGATTGTCACCAAACTAATATTTTACACAATCATAGTCTGATAAAATTGCATGCCCGAGTCAAATACAAATTGACGTGCTCGTTCTCTAGTCAAGCTTGATCAAATTATTGCTTGAATCCATTCATAAGTTGCTTGATTCGTTTGTTCCACTGTTCGAATCAATAGCATCACAACATAATTGAGGTTGCACGAAATATATATTATTATATATAAGAAATTGAAAACAAAATTATTATATATCTATGATTTATGTGGATTAATTTAAAAAAAAATATTATCATCTACTCAAAATTTGAGATATCTTTTTCTTCTATTTTCTTCCTTTGATCCCATACGAATTTACCTTTTCCAGTCCTTTTATATATAATCATTCATCCAATGAATATAGCTAAAGCATTGATGAATGATTTGCAAATATTTTGAGATAAAAAAGTACTTTGGAAAAATTCAGCACAAGACCAACTTTTTAAATTTGTAGCATTTTAAGCCACGAATTTATTTCTTTATCAACGAAAAATTTATATTTTAGATTATTTTCAATTTAATTCTCACTTTCTTTTGTTTAACTTCTCATTGTAAGACCTACTTTTTACATAAATATGTGAACCATAATATTACTTTTGTACAATCTATATATATATATATGTGTGTGTGTGTGTCAAAAATATTATGTATATTTAACAACAAGAAGTTAACTAAAATAGTAAACTTTAAATTAAGAATAATTTAAAACGTAAATCTTTTATTGAGAAAGAATAAAATTTGAGTCTTAAAACTGATATATAATTTCAAAAAGTTGACATTGTAATGACATTTTTCTCACATATTTTGTCAAATATTAAAGGTAATTGGGTCTTCAGAAATTAAATAAAAAAGTAATCTAAAATACAAATCTTATATTGAGAAAGAATAAAATTTTACCTTTTAAATTGATATAATCCGAAAAAAAATTAGCCTTATATATATATAATAAAATTTCCCGAGTAGTTTTTGTGAAAAGCCCGCGTCACACACAACAAACAAATTCAAGGCCTCTTCAGGGGCAGAACAGTCAATCGACCCCATGAGCCCCCGCCTACGCCATCGAGGCTGTACAGTAGTATTTCTTTTATCAGCCAAAAAACTAGAAAAAGGAAACAAAATTGAAAAAAAAAAAAAAATTAACTCAAATAATTTTTTGCTTCCATTGTTCATCATCTTCGCCGCGAGCTGCCTCCACTCCATCGATCGAAAGGTGAGTTCAATTCTTACTTTTGTTATCCACTTTCACTGTCACTCATTTTAGGGTTTATTTGGTTGGCTTAAATTAATCCCCTCGTCTCCTGTTTTTCCTTGCAGAAGCTTTCCCTAGATTTGCGCTGTCTGTTTCTTTTTTTTTTTCTTTTTTTTTTTTTTTTTTAAATCTGGTGAAATGGAAGTGTTTGTACATGCTTTGTGTTATGTGTGAATGTTTGGTTTCATGGTTTTTTAAATTTTTGTTTCTATCAATTTTAACATTACATTTGCTGATTTTGAAGGAATGAGGGCTTCAAACGAAGCTTCCATCAGCAGTGAGTTGATAAACACTCAAGTTAGGCGCAGAAACGAGGTGGTAAGTCGATATAATGAGGTTGATTTGATTTAAACTTTTTTTTTGTTTAGTGATTATATAGTGAATTGGATTTGATTTGGCATTTTTGTGTTGGTAATTAATAAGTATAAGTTGATATAGTGAAATGGGTTCGATCTGGCATTTTTGCGTTAGTGATTAAGAATTGTGCAGACTTTTTGGTGTTCATTATGTGCTGTTTTGTGTTGTTTCTTCTCACCCCTTTTATGAAGGGCTTAGTTTTTACAGGGTCTTCACTTATTTGTTCTTTTTAATAAAAAAAATCCATATTTCTGTTGGAGTATCACTTGTGAGTTGTCCCACATTGTATCTATAGGGAAAATGAGCCTAGTATATAAGCCAAGTGGGCTACTCCTCCCATCACCAATCGGTTTTGGGATGGAAGCTCACTATGGTGCACCTAGGCTCACCCTCTTATGGTGCGCTTAATATGCGTGGGACTGTACCCTCTTGCCCCGATTCTCTAATCTTACAATTTCCATCAGATAATTTCGTATAGAGTTAGTTCTGTGTTACCTTGCTATGGTTTTTAGCTAGTGCAATGAATGATTCACTTAATTCTTTGAGGTTCTATTAGTTAAACACTTAAACTCTACATTCCAAAGTTCAGAGGAAGGTTTAAATTTTTAAACTACAAATCACTATTTTTCATACCAGGGCCTTGATTTGATTGCTGCTGTAAAAGGACTTCACGTGCTTAGCCCACAGCAGCTTACGCAACTCATCAGGGATTCTGGCAATAATATTGTTCAACATATCGCTGAAGATGGATCACACATACAGGTTCTCTTTTGCAGACTGAGTACCTCTGTTTTCTTCTTTGTCTTCTTCGTCTACTGTTTGTTTACCCTTAAAAGTAGTTGATGGTGTAGCTAGTTCAACTCTCATGTCATGCAGAAATTGATATTCCTTAGATGGTAATTGCAGGTTGACATGGAAAAAATTGCGAGATATCTTCCCTTACACCTGATTGCAGTGATAATGGCCTGGGAAAGGGACAAGGCTACATTCAAGTATTTGTTTTGTGGAGTTCTTCTGTTACATTCTATGTGTGATCTTGCTTCCCGGGTTCCCAAAATTGAGCAGGTTTATCAGAAGCTACTCTTGTTCATAATATATGCAGTTAAAAATAGTAAAATTTCTTTGTAGTTGTTTACATATAACTGGAGCACGACTGCAGCCTGATGACTTGGGTTACTTTTACCTGTGGTTTCACAATGAAAATTCGTAACTGGCAGAAGTATAGTGTACTCTTCTGTTTTGTCCCATTTGGCCGTTTGTTTTTCCTTAAATTTTCTGTTTTTATTTGTCTGAGATTTCATATTTCAATTATATCTATCAATTAATGTGCTTATATATCTTCATATCATGTGGTTATTCGTCCATCATGTGTGCTACAGATATTGCTTGATGATGTGAGAGTATCTGAACAGCTAGTCAACCTGGTATTTTATCTGGTCATTCTTCTGGGTGCATACAGACAGGTTGTTTTCTACAGTCCTGCATATTTTAGTTCCCTCCTCCCTCATGTGAGTGTGTACTGAGTACTGACAATGTTGATGTTCTAGGACTATCAGAATATTACCAATGATATGATTCTCTTGCATTCAGCCCTGGTGGCCTACACTATAAAATTGCTAATGGTTATTGTCTCTCCTCAATACCAAGATGTTGCTCGAGTTTTGTCTGCCTACTACAAAGTAAGTTTACGGGTCTCCAAATATTGGAGGCATAATCCTGGTGAACTATCTGCAATCTGTGACAAAGTGACATAAGTAACATTTGAATCAACTTAGTAGTTCATATTAATTTTAACTCGAGCTGTTTTTGTCTTCTTAATTATTGACTGTTAGTAGTTACAATGCACTTTCTTTAATTTTGGCAGGTTGATATATTTATGGACGCTACATTTTCTGCTGTTTGTATAGATGTCAAATATTTGCAATCAAAGCTTTCAATTGAACAAACCGAGTCTTCGGCTGGTACTCCTCCCCTTACTGCAGAAGAGAACTTGAATCATCTTTGCCAGCAGTGTGACTCCTCTTTGCATTTTCTGCAGTCTTTATGTCAAGAGAAATCGTTCCGAGACTGCATTATTAAAAATAAGGTCATTAGTTTCTTCACATTTTCCTTAGGTTCTGTGTGTGTGGAAGTGTTGGATTTGCTTTATGATGTCAAATGTTAAATTGAACACTTCTGCTGATCTGCTGATGTCAAATGAAGTGTGGCTTACAACTTGATTCTGCTTATAGAAAGTTAAATTGAATTGAACACTTCTTGTTTTGCATTTCTAAACTCACTGATTAAGCACTTGTATGTGTGCTTATCCTGAATTGGGATATAAATTATATTCGACATCTCGTTTTGTTGTGAATTACTTAATCTGCCTGAGTGGCTTGAACATTTTTTGTTACTCTTTTGATTTGGGAAATAGAACAGTTTTTATTAGCTGCCGAAGGTATAGATCTTGTGACACTGCTAATTCCAGGTCTTTATGAGTCAGTCCCATACATAGAAGCAGTGTTATAAATCATTGAATTGCAGCTCAAAATTTTTTGACCAGAACTTTCTGATGTTCCTGAAAATCTATTTGAAGTGATGTTTCCCTTTTAATTTTATCTCATTGGTTCAAATTCAAAACTGAATGTCATTTATATTAAGTTCTTCATATTCCTAACTATTTCTGGTTTCCTCTGTTATTGTACTCCAGGAGGTATGTGGCAATGGAGGTGCTCTTTTACTGGTACAGGCCGTTTTGAACCTTAAGATATCACCCTTGTATAATAATACATCCTTGTATATGGCATCTATCTCTCGGTTGAAGTCTAAAGCATTATCCATTGTAAGTTCAAGACTTCAAGTCAAATTAAAATTGGTGATTATAGGCCATACGCCCTTTGTTGTTTTACTGGGAAAAACTCATCAACTGGATTATCTGTTTATTTTTTAGTTACAAGCATAAGACCTTCAGTCTTCAAGTTACCACAACTTATTTTGCTGCAGCTCTTGCACCTATGTGAAGCGGAATGCATGTCCTTCCTGGATGAGGTTGCCAGTAATCCGAGAAGTCAGAATCTGGCAAAGTCTGTTGCACTACAGGTTTTGATTTCCCTCGTAAAAGTTATTTTTCACGTTTTCTGATTTATATTTTGGAAGATGATATACGTGTCCATGTTTTAGAAGTGTAACTTTCGAGGATCATATATTTGATATCTATTTTTTACATAACTGTCTGTGTCCCCAAGTAAGTGGCGGTTTGTCATTTTTCTTTTTAGGTCCTTAAATTGTTGAAGCAGATGTTTGGTATAGATTCCAATACCTCAAAAATGTCTTCCGAGATGGTTTATTCGAAAGGGCAACTGGAACTTAATGCGATGCGCCTGACTGATGTCTTATCCGACGATTCAAATTACCGTCAGTTTGTCACGTTAAACTTTGTAAGCTTTCTACAGTGAATAAACCTTCAGATGCGCTCACTTCTGTTTTTGTTCTCTAATTTCTGTTGGTAGATTTGAACTTTTCTGGTTATAATTTTATCATGCATGTTGTTCATGATCAGCGGTTTAATGCAATCATGGTATCCTGAATGAACGAAACCATATCCTGTTCCAGTATACTTGAAAATGTCCGTGTCAAACCTTTAGCTATTGGTCGGTGATATAAAACATCTAATTAATTCCTTATTTATTTATCATGTGTCAGGAGAGTTTGTGCATGACTATAATTATTGTTTTTTGTTTAATTATCACACTATTTTCATGCGGCATCTAGTGTCTTCTTCTCGACCTTCAATAGAAATTTGCACTGAATATCATTTTGTTCAGGTACTCATCTCTGTGTGTGTATGTGTGTTTGTCCCTGCAGACGGAAATTTTGGCGGCAATCTTTCTTCTCCCACATGGAGAATTTTTGTCTGGTTGGTGTTCATCCAATTTTCCAGTGTGTGAAGATGATGGAAGTTTGGAGTACGTACCATTTTCAGTTGCTGGATGGTTGAAATTTTCTCCCATATCATATCAATTAAATTTATCTTTTACAAGTTTTATCTATATGACCAATCTTTCTTCCAATTTGTTAAGCACAATAATCTTTTGACTGATAATTGTTCCTTGCAGCATACCTCGGGCATCTTATGCTCATCAGAGAACATCTTTACTAATTAAAATATTAGCAAATCTTCACTGTTTTGTTCCTGATGTCTGCCAAGGTAAATTATTCTGCAACTTCATAGTTTTCGTTTGGTTATTATATTTGATCTTCAAAGATATTCTTTAAGCTTTCCTTCAATTCCAGATGAGAAGGATCTCTTCCTACATAAGTTCGTGCGGTTCATAGAATGCTCATCTACTTCCGATACTGAAAAAACTGGAACAGTTGGCAAGAATTTATGTATAGTTACTTAATCACTTTTGCACCTAATAAGTTGAACTGGATACACACGTCTATTTCCTAACCAGTATTTGCTTGTAGGTTCATTGTTAAGTCATGCAGAGTCTTTAGTTCCCCGGTTTCTAAATGAAGAAGATCTGCAGCTCCTAAGGTAGTTTCAAATAATCCGTACCTTCCTTGCTGTTATTGTATCAGTTTTTCGTTCTTTTTTATGTCAGTTCTTTGTCCTTTTTTTTTGGTTTATTCTTTTGTGTTATTTTGAATATTCAATAGTATCTCATGATGCATATCAGTACTCTGATGTACTATGGTGGTCATACTTCACACTGCTTCATATTTTGCATCTTACATTTTGATTGTTCTTCACTGATATGTTCTAAGTAAAACAATCTTCCATGTAGGTTATTTATTAATCAATTTGACTCTTCGGTTGTTTCTACTGCTGTTGAAGCTCTATCTTTCCAAGTAATTCTATTCGTCCTTAAATATTTGTGTTTTCCTTTTAGTAAGTATCTATGCCTTTCTGTGAGAACTTTGTTTCTGTACTGTGACCAAAGTAGACTGCTGGAAGATATTAGCGGGAAAAAAAGAAATTACGTATCCATTTCCTTAGGCACGGAAACTGAAGTTTGGTCATTAGATGAATTATTGTAGATTGAAATTCTTCTAATTAACATGAATGAAATAGTTGTGATGTATTAAATGAAAACTGTGATGGGAGATTTAACAACTACGATATATCTATATGATGTTTTTCAACAAATGTCTTAGGGTGTGTTTGTTTATAAATAAACTCAATTCATGCTCAATTGTCAATTCATATTGAAAATCTAACTCAACTCCGTTAAGGAAACCTTAATGTTATCAATATAATTAAATAATATCAATCATTCTTACACATTACATAAACTTCAATTTACTATTCATCCACTCAAAATTTTAACTAACCATCACTTCACATCATCTCTCTCTTATTTTTACATAAAATCAACTTTAGTTAGTTTATTTTATACTATTATAATATAAACTCGAAATCCCACTAACAACTAAAATACCAACTTTTTTTCAAATTAACTCATTAAATAAAAAAATTCGTTTTGAGCGAATATATTTGTATCCAAGCAGGGGTGATTGGATATGAATTCAAGTAGTAAAAAGTTGGTTTTTTTTTAACTATAGTTAAGTTTGGAAAAAAGTAGCATGGGTAGTTGTTAGTGGATATATTAAAATGATATTTAAATTAAAATAATTAAAGTTGATTTGATGTAAAAGTAGGAGAAAATGATTGGAAGTGATGGTTAGTTAAAATTATGTGAGTTGATGAATAGTGTATTAAAGTTGATGTGATGTGTAATAATGAAATAGTGGAGTTGAGTTAAATTTGAGTTTTTAGTGAGATATTTACTGAACAATTCATAAACAATCACGCCCTTAACAGTTCAGTCAAGGACCTATGACAACCAATTGCCCATCAGAATGCTATATAGAACATTTTAATAACTGATTTCTCTGTTATTCTTAAGGATGCTCGAAATACAGGGCCCCGATCTTCACCATTTCAGATTGAAGTCGCATCAAGTCATGGCAATAATGATTTCAACATGCAAGAAGCCACAGTGGATACCGTTATTTCCGGGGATAAAGGCCACTCGGGCATCGGCCCGAATGGTAATAAGCAATGCACTCTTGGGGAAAGTAAATCCTGGATGATGGATCAAGCTAAGAAGCCCAATGGGCCCCACATAAATTTGAAAGAAATCGAGATGGATTCCAGCCCGACACGTGGAAAGACCTCTGTCGAGCGTATGGATATCTATCTAGATGACGAAAAGGCTAACGCCACACATTCTGACGAGAATCAGCAAAGAAATCGTAAGCGGATTTTAATGAATGACATGCAGGTAGCACTCATTGAGTCCGCGCTTCTGGACGAACCCAATATGCACCGTAACTCTGACTCGTTGAAATCGTGGGCCGAAAAATTAAGTCTATATGTGAGTGAGTGTAACGGTTTTTATTGCTTGCATCTTTTTCTGGACGTACCAACTTTATTTATTTGTTTGTTTGATATGTCCTCTCAGGGAGCTGAAGTCACTATTTCAAGGCTAAAAAATTGGTACGACACGATCTTTTGCATTTTCAGGATCTTTCGTGCCTTTTTTTTTTTTAAAAAAAAATTGATTTCAGTAGGCTAACAATATGTTATCAGTTAAAGCATCCCGTGAAATTCAATAGATGGTAAAATCACCTATAAGTTGGGTCGAATGAAACTTCAAGTCCCTATTTCTGTGTTATACCAACAGGCTCAATAACCGAAAATCGAAACTCGCCCGCGCTGCCAAAGATGTCCGTGAACCATATGAAGGGGAAAGAAGTCTCGAGAGACAAGGCAGTTGGGCCGCCGTTCACTCAGACTCACCCTTGGGCCCAATCGAAGACTCCCGGGTCCAGCTCAAGTCAAGATGGAGCACCAAAAATGAGCCCACAGACAACCCATTTTCTGCAGATGCTGCAAGTCCCTTTCCATAAATAAACTCATGGGATTGTGAGTTTCAGCTAAATAAACATTGGTACTTGGCTAATTATTAAAAAAAGAAATTATATTTAAAATGGACTGTTTTTCCGCAATTTTTTTGATTTTACGCTCTATGTGCAGATCGCCAGACAAAGAGACTTTTGAATCAAAGAAGTTGAATGCTTTACATGATCGCATCCTAACGGACAAGTCTTCTGGCTAATTAGAAACTGTTAAAAAATGCTAACTTGAATATTTTCATATGGCTGCTAGATGAGAGATTTTTGAGATTTAGAACAGATGTTTCATCTCCAAAAGCGAAATATGTAATGTAATGAGTCCTTAAATTGAGAAGCCATATTGTCTACATGGCTTGAGTTGAAACTGTAAATTCTGTATAATTGAGGGCACATTGTGCCAGCTTCTCACAGTAATGCACAGAAATGCATGCTGAGAATATTAGATTTGATTGATATGAAAACTTGCTTCAAGAATGAAATGGGAATGGTATCAACAGTTATATCTTTAGGTAAACTTGTTAAATGAAAAGAGTCGCTCGTGATTTCAGCAAGACTCGAACTTGAGCTCGGTTAAGGCTTGTTAAGATTGGTTTGGCTTGAAAAATAGGGATTCTGCAGAATTTTCTTAATTCTTAGCATAATTTAGTTTGTTCATGAACCAAACTCGAGCTCGAGCTAAACTTGTTTATAGCTTTAACTAGAGATGAATAAGATTCAATTAATAAGGTCAAAGTATTCTACAAATGCCATCACTGCTCAGCTCTCCAAAAGATCCCACCTCTAATCAAAAGACCAACATTTAGAAACTAATCAAAAGATCTCACCTTTACTATACCCATCAACCAAGACACCCAAAACAACTGACCATTATAACTAAGAACCCTAAAACTCCTGGGAAGCAGAGCCAATCTCCTTGTCCTTTCCTCCAGCTTTCTTCGGCAACAGAATCTGGTGGATGTTGGGCAAAACGCCGCCGTTTGCAATGGTCACACTCCCCAGAAGCTTGCTCAGCTCCTCGTCGTTCCTCACCGCCAATTGGATGTGCCTCGGCACAATCCTGTTCTTCTTGTTATCCCTAGCAGCATTACCGGCAAGCTCCAAAACCTAATCACACAAAACGGCCACAAAATTAGGCCCAAATTTAATTTTTACGTTTCATTTCCACACAATCAATAAAAAAAAAACCCAAATGACGGGGACAAAAGCCCAGCGGCTGAAATTGATAGAATCGGAAAAAAAATTGACGACGGTATTAAGAGATTCACCTCGGCGGCGAGGTATTCGAGAACGGCCGAGAGGTAAACCGGAGCGCCTGCGCCGACGCGCTCGGCGTATTTCCCGGTCTTGAGAAAACGGGCGATCCTGCCGACGGGAAACTGGAGGCCGGCCTTCGACGAGCGGGAAACCGATTTGGCGGATTTGGGCTTTCCCCGGCCGCCCTTGGTGGAGGCTGCGGTTTTTGAACTCATTATTTTCCGGCGAAGGCTTGATTATGCAGCGATCTACAGACGTCAAAATTGTTTAGAGAGAGGGAATTTGTGTATTTTGTGAAATGAAATTGTTTTGTGCTTTTGAGAAGTGAGATTTTTTTTCATTTTTATAGACTCTAATGGCTGATTGTGATTGGTCGAATGTGGGAAGGCCTGGATCGCCAGCGTGGCAATTCAAATTTTGGAGGGAAAATGAATAAATGAAAAGTTTTTTAAATTACCTTTTTAATGATTTTGCCTCAATTGTCATACCAAAAAGTAGAGCAAATTGTCATTTTTGTCCCGGGGAAAAATCTTTTATCATGTAGGATAATTTGATTTATTTGACTTGGCCTACTTAATCCACATGTCAATATTTAAATATAAAAAGAGTATATTATAATTTTTTTGCATTAATTTTTTTAGTTTATTATTCTTCAATTGAAATGGCATTTTTTTTTTCAAAAAAAAAATTTATTATACTAATGGAAAATGCTAAGCTCTTGTTACAGAATCATTTTGTCGAGATTTGTAACGTTTAGATCATCAAGTAACTGTCAGAAATTTTTGGTCTAACGATTACAAACCCGACGGAATAGTTCCGTAACGGGACCGTAGCATCTTCCTATACTAATTGTTGTTAGTAACTGTGAAAATACAAATTGACCAAATTAGCATGACCAAATGTCATATATACATATATATAAATGTAATTTTATAATTTCCAATGCCGCGCGTCCACCCAAAATTTCCTTACATAATACCAACAGCAACAAGCCATAAAGGCATAAAAATAAAAAATAAAAAAATAAAAAAATAAAATAAAAAAAAAATTGAAAAAGGATAATACTTATAAATTCCTATTTTCCTAAATCTTCACCACATATTTACATATGAGTTATGATCCAACAGATCCAATAACGTTTTTTGTCCCAAACCAAGTACAAACCAATAGAAAAAAA